ATAACTATATGTAGATCAAGTTATTGCTATTTACTGGTAAAATTTTTAGTTTTTAAATTTTCCTTTATTGTTTGGCTAATAAAATTATGATATATAACACAATATACATCAAGTTTTAAAATTTTTTAATTGTAGCACAATAAGCATAAGATTTACCATCTTAACCATTTTTAAATGCACATTTCAGTACGCTAAGCATATTGACAGTGTTGTGCAAAGAAATTTTCATCCTTTAAAACTGAAACTTTATACTCATTAAAGAAACAACCTCCAGAGGGCCATGGTGGTACATGCCTCAGGAGTCTGAGGCAGGAGGATCACAAGTTCAAGGCCAGCCTCAGCAACTTAGGGAGACCCTATCTCCAAATGAAAAATAGAAAGGGTTGGGGATGTGGCTCAGTGGAGAATGTCCTGGGTTCAACCCCCAGTATTGAAAAAAAATCCTCATTTCCCCTTCGCCCAGACCCTGGAGACCACCATTCTATTTTGTATTTCTATGAATTTGACTAATCCAGTTTCCTCACTTAAGTGGAACATAACAGAATATGCTCTTTGGTGAATGACATTTCTCTTAGCATAATGTCCTCAACACTAATCCAGATTGTAGCATGTGTCACAATGTCCTCTCTTTTTAAGGCTGGTTAATATTCCATTCTGTGTGTGTGTGTGTGTGTATGGAGATATATATATGTACATATACATATATATACATGTATATACATATATATACACACATATATACATATATATACGTGTGTATATATCCATCCCATATGTATGTATATATATAAATGTATGTATACATACACACACACATATACGTATGTGTGTGTATTCATCCCACATTTTGCTTATCTACCCATCTTTGGGAGGAAAATCTGAATTACTTCCACCTTCTGACTATTGTGTATTCTATTATAAAAGTATATAAAGTTTGATATTCTACTTTTTCACTTCCAATTATAATATGTGTGTTTGTTTATGTTTGAATTTTTCCGGGTTTATATATAGCTTCATAATAATCCTTTTTTCTCTGTTTTAACAGCAACATGATCATCTTTCAAGTCCACATACTTAAATTATTTTTTGTAATTGGACACTTGAGATGTTACTTAGCTACTAATAGTCTATATTAATTTTCATTTCTCCAGCCTTTTGGTTTCATTTTTTACATGAAAAAAATAACCAAAGATGAGAGCTTATTCCTGTTGAGTAGACAATGCTTTGATTATTTACAGGATGAATATTTTGTAAGGACACCCCAGGTTTGTCCTGCCTGTGAACAAACACAAGCACAGTTAACAAACGTGTGTATATGTGTGTGTGTAAAACCTATAATATATATGAAATAACATATAGTATTACATATATACCTATAATAGATGAGTTACATGTCAGCAACATGCATAAAGTGGCATAGGCACGCCATAAATGATAGCTATTGTCATTGTTGCTGTGGTTTCTATTAATGCCAAAGTATGACAATTCTCTGCCTATACCTTCTCACTCAGGTCTTCAGTTCCCCAAACCATGGTTTCCCAATTATTTGGGGTACCCCCAGTGTGGTGGTGTCTCAGAGCAGCTTTCCCTCACTAGAGGTCTCTACGCCAAGCCCCCACGTGGTGCTTTTCTCCACTAGACACAGCTCCACTCTGCTGGGGGTTGCCCCAAGCCCCCAGAGGTCCTGTACTTGGAGTGGAGAGGGCCTGGTGAAAGAAGTGTCACCTGGGTCCTTGGTAATGAAGGAGGGAGAGAGTTAAACATGGCACGCAGCTGGCCTTGAAGGTGGAATCCATGAGGCAAGGAACGCATGTGGCCTCTAGGAACTGGAAGAGGCAAAGAAACTGTTGTCCCTCGGAGTCTCCAGTAGGAATCCAGTCCCGCCGAAACCTTGATTTTAACCCAGTAACAGCTATTTTGGATTTCTGACCTCCAGAACTACAAGAAAATAAATGTATGATGTTTTGTGTCCCCAAGTTTGCAGTACCTTGTTACAACAGCAAGAGGAGTAATGCATTCCCCTAATGCTCTTTTCTCCTCTCCCTATTTCTCTGCAGATTTCCATTTTAAGATAATTGCCTTCTCTTTTTTTTTTTTTAGCCCTAAATGGAAAGTCTCTGAATTAACTCCTACACTTAGGAAGGACCCACCAGGTCCACAAGTGGGAATCCTCTGCTTCCACCCTTGCTCATTAGTTGTGTTTGCTCTTTTGAATTGATTATGCCCCTTGCCCAACTATGACTCCTAACGTCAGAATAATATGGATCCATGGGGCTTCCCCAAGATCCCACAGTGAGCTGATGCTGCCATGGATTTCACTCTTTCACGACCTCACTCTGTCCATCCAATCATCCACACAAGAAAGAAAGGTGTGCTGGGGTCACTATGTGCCAGGCTCTGAGCTGGTGTTGGGATACAAAGATGTAGTATAAAACCTGTGCCTTTATACAGACCAGAGATGTAGAATTTTTATGGCTTTAGAATGGCAAGCGCACATTTCCCCCGTCCCCTGTAACTTTTCTAAGATTTGTTTCTTTCCAGGAAGCAAAGTGGGATACAAGGAGCCCCTTTGACTAACTGGGCGGGGACAGGAATTGCATCCTGCTTCCATCTTGTGTTCCAGTTTGTATTCCGATCCTGGCAAGAATTAAAAGGGTTTGATGATAGATAAGCACAGATGTAAAACAGCACAGCCTCCTGCCTCTTCCCTCAGCAAGCTATTCCTTTCTCTGCCCTCTCCAGCCCTGCCTACCTGCCTTTGACTCAGGGAGCTAAGGCTCTGAGTGGAACCTGTTGGAGTTTCCAATTAAATCTTTGTGGACAAAGGGCACACAGAGCATCCTCAGATAACAGGTGGCAATAAATCCATCAGCACATCCACGTTCAGAGAACAGAGTCCTGCTGTCTTGCAAACACCTGCTGGTCCCTCGCTGAGTGGCACACACCAAGCCAGACTGAAAGGTAGGATTTTCTCTCTCTGGATAAATTTACTTCTTCCGTATAATTTGTATTTCTCATTAGAGGATTTTCATTATAAAATTTACTACTGATTTGTTGGCAAATTATTGTTTGGGGGCAGATTTTTGTTTTTATTGTGTGTTCTCTCCTTATAGTATTGCATTCTATTGAAATCATGTAGTTTTCATTGCTTTTCTTTTAATCTCTTCTAATTTTCAACCTTATGTATCCTATGTCAGTTTGTATTTGGAAGTAGCTGAAATGAATGGTCTTAATAATTGCATGCATTTTCTGGTTAATTTATCTGGTTAAAATTTATCTTGATGGCTTGAACTGCAGGAGGAGTTCTTCAGCCCTGGGTTTAGAGCACAGCAGATGAGTGCTTAGGATTCTTCCAATGCTGAGGCTAATGATTGAACTCAGTGATAATCATTTACAATTGTTTTCTTCTTGTGTTATGAAAGTTGTTACCTACAGAATATTTGGAAATGATTGAAAATGAAAAATAAGATAATTTAAATCATTGCTTATACATAACCAGCATTTGAGTGCACATTTTCCTGTCTTTTAAAAACATACACATGTATTAATTTTTTACCTGAGTGAGATCAAGCTGTAAATACAGCTTGATATTATTTTTTTGGCTTACCATTATCTTAAGAGTATTTTCTAAGTCACTGAAATTATTTGAAAATATGATTTTAAAGTATTTCATTTTTCACTTATAAAAATAATTCAGCCATGTATCTTCAAACATAAATCTTTAGTTGCATTCTGAGCCTTTCTTTAGAACAGGTTAATTGAAATGGAGTTATCAAATCAAGGGGCATACATTTCTAGGAAGGATCTTACACATTTCATGACAATTATCTCTTTTAAAAATGTACATGATTGTTGTTGTTGATACCACAATAGAAATCATATAAAAGAAAATGAAATCTTCCAGAAAGTGGGATTACTTGAAAGTTTGACAAGGAACTGTGAATTAAGGCTAACAAATGATATGAAATCCTACATGGGAAACTAGTCATGAAAGTTATTATCTTACTTATACACAGTGACACAGCTTTCTGAGCAGGGGTTTATAAGATAAATAAAAGATTATGAGCACTTCTAGTGCCCAGAGCTCATGCAAAAGGTGGAGTGAAAATTGCAAGTTAAAAAGCTTGAGATTTCATCCCTGTTTGACAATAATTAATTTGATCAAGGGCAAACTTCCTAAGCTCCTGAGTCTCTGATTTTGTAACTGTGAAATGAAAGTTGGCCCAGACTAATGTGTCTCCGTGGGCAGCATGAGTGATGTTTGGCCACATGAGATATTTTTGGGTGGTTCAAATAACCTAGACCATAATTTGGGGGTGGTAACTAGACATACAACATAATTTTCTTTTTGAATGGTATATCAAGTTGCTTTTTAAAATAGTATAGCAATATTTTAAAAACATGGACTTAAAGGAAAAGAGTAAATAAGTAATTGTCCAGATACTTCTCAGATATAAGTTATCAAGGTGAGGGGCAAATGTCTGACATTTGAGAAGCATATGGGTCATTCATTAGGTTAAATTCCAAATATAAATCACTGGTAAGCAGCGCTTACCTGGAAGGCAATCTGGGAATCAATAGCATTATTGATATGTGTGAGAAGTGATCAGAGCCAGGCACAGTGGCACATGCCTGTAACCCCAACTGCTCTGGAGGTTGAGTCCAGCCTGGGCAAGTTAGTGAGACCCTGTGTCAAAATAGAATTTTAAAAGGAATGAAGGTGTAGCTCATTAGCAGAGCACATGCCTACTGTGCATGAGGCCCTGGGTTCTGTCCCCAGCACTGCAAAACAAAGAAAAAAATAAATAAAGGGAGGGACAAACATGGAAAATTTTTAAACACTCCTGCTACTTGTAACCCTTTGCACTTATCTTTTTAACAATGAGTCTCGCTCACAGGGACAAATTTCCTCCTCTTGTATAGGGCGGCTGCAGGGCTGCGGCAGGTGCCTCTGAGCACCTGGAGGAGAAGCCATCCCCAGCCCCGAGCCCCGCCCCACCATGCTTCGCACCGTCCTGGATGCTCCTCAGCGGTTGCTGGAGGAAGGCAGAGGGTCCCGGCAGCTGGTGCTTGTGGTGGTGTTTGTTGCCCTGCTTCTGGACAACATGCTGCTTACTGTGGTGGGTACGTTTGGGGGTCTCCCTGGTGAGAGTTAATTTGCTTTGGACCCCACTAGGCAACACACCCTGCTTCATTTCAGCAGTGAGTGGACTTATTTTTCTGGTGGAAAACATATAGAGGTTGCTAGGGGCCAGGGGAAACTGCCTACTGTAACCAAGTCTTCCTGCCATTTCTAATGACTCCAGAGGTTCAAAGAGAAGGAGGTTCAGAGAGTGTCTGGCCAGAAAGGAGGAAGTGGTCTCCCTCTGCTTCCCCATCCTGTCTCTGGGAGCCATGCCTCCCTAGGCTCTGTCCTTTAAAAATGGCACACGACATTTGGACATTCAACTTCTATCAAGCCCTACCCTTCTTGCAGTTCATTTCCTCAGAGTTCTCCTTTTTCTAGATGATACTCCCTTAATCTTTATGTTATATTGTACCAGGGTATAAATGTTACTAATTTGTTGCCCCTGGGTAAAATATACTATTTTAAATAAGAGTCTTCCTGAGACAAGTGGCTAATCCAATGCAGTCAATTCTCATTATTTGTGGTTCTATGGTTATAATTATGTTCTATAAAGCTGTCACAAGTGCTGGATTAGCAAATAATGAATCATTGCTCCTAGGAGGAAATATGAGCACACAAGCCCCTCCCCCACTACATAGATTATAATCTTAAATCCTAAAAACAAAGCATCCTGGTAGATTTTTTTTTTTAACAAAGAAGCATAAAATGATATGCCTGAGGCTGCCTGCTAACAGGTGCCAGAGCTGGGATTCAAGTACCAGGGAACTGTCCCAGATCTCACTGAAGTGGGAACGTGCACATTGGGTGCCTCACTGATCTATATTGGTCTGCAAAATATCATTATAGCTCAATTAGTATTGATTTTCAGGTTGTAAATAAATCTCAGTGAGTAGGAAAATTGGCCCATGCAGAATCCATGAATCTGGGCGGACCAGTGACATGATGGTTGGAATGCAGGTCCCTTAGCTAACAGCACAGTTTGGGCAGGCACAGTCTTTAGCTCACCTTAAAGGATGTCACTTAACAAATGTCTTCCTTTGGCATAAAACGGGACCTTAAAGTAATCCCTAAACCTAGTAGTGGCAAAATATAATCTGTCCCTAACCCTTATGATTGGTCTTCATTGACTTTCAGTGCCCATTGTGCCCACCTTCCTGTATGCCACGGAGTTCAAAGAGGTCAACTCTTCTGGGCATGCCAGCCTCTCTGTGAGTTCCCAGCCGGCCCTCACCTTTCCTGCTTTCGCCACCGTCTTCTCCTTCTTTGACAATATCACCATAGCTGTGGAACAAAGTGCACCCAGGGGCACAGCTTGGACAAATGGTTCTTCTGGCACTGTCCCTCCTCCAGTCACCGAAGCCAACACAGCTCATAGAAACAACTGCCTGCAGGGCACAGAGTTCTTGGAGGAAGAGAACATCCGGGTTGGGGTTCTGTTTGCTTCAAAGGCTTTGATGCAACTTCTGGTCAACCCATTCGTGGGACCTCTCACCAACAGGTATCTCAGAGGGTGTCATACCCCACAGGGTACCCATGGGCTCAGGAATAGTAGGCTGGGCAGAGGTTTCATATGGGTGATTAGAAAGAAAAAAGAAGGAACACTGTGGGACCCAGGGGATCAGCTCCTTGGAAAGCTACTTACCCCAAAGCCTCAGAGGATGACATGTTATTGGTGAGACATTGTAAACTTCTGATTTCCCTAGTGATGTATTGAATATTGAGGGCCAAGAAGAGAACCAGTGAGCAGCAATTAGAGCTCATGTTCCTTCCGTTCTCTGGAACATAGCTTGAATAGGACCCAGGTGGGAATGGGACAGTCCTAATGCCCTCTAAAGTATGGCTTCCTAGTCACTTGAGGGACGATCCCAATGTTTTGAGGAGATATACATTCTATTACTTTCTATAGAATGTATATCTTTCTGAAAGAGGTTTGGCCTTTCTGGAAGAGGATTTGGCCTCAGTCTGCAGGTAAATTTGCATGTTTGTTTATTTGCATGGAGTCATTCGCATGCTGTATTCCACCTCCACTCTTGCATTCAGAGACATGTTTTACCACGAACTCAAATTAACCGCATTTCTGTTTCCACTAGCATTTAAAAAAAATATATGTGTGTGAGTGCCCATTGGAAACATATCTTCTTTTGTTGATTCCCTTTTAGGATTGGATATCACATCCCCATGTTCGCTGGCTTTGTTATCATGTTTCTCTCCACTGTTAGTAAGTAATATGCTTCCCCTGTTCTCCCCTTCACTGAAACCTCTGATTTTATCATGTGAGTGCAGCATAGAGATCAAGGTCAGGTTAGCCCATCCGGTAATTAGTCATCTAATTGGACTGGGACATTGATTTGAATGCTTTGCAATTTTTGGAATGGGGACTAGAATAGTAGTGACAACTTAGTCTAGCTGGAATTTGTCTATTCTGCTGAAGGAGAACAGATATTTCATTTATCAGTGGAAATCATAAAGGCTGTTTATATAATATATATTAATGTGTGTTTGTGTGTGTGTATGTACATGAGCATTCACATATGCATGTGAATTTCAGCAAATTTCATGCAAACCTCCCAGCCTTGGGCAAAGATCAAATTATTCTAATATGCCATGGTAAAGAAAAATATGCCACAGCTAATTGAAAGGAAAAAAAAGTTGGACAGTAGTAACTGGAAAATTCCAGAAAGTCTTCAACTTCCCAATAAAGATTATAGTTTAGCAAAGTAAATTTGTTAAATAAATGAGAAGACTAGAGAGCCTATCCTGTATCAGCTAAATATTCCAAATAGAATGGAGATGGAATAAAAACAGTAAGCAAGAAAAGTAGTTGATCCTGAGAATGAAAAATAAAAAGGAGTAAATGGGGGATCCTCGTTTGGGGATTAATAGATGGGGAAAGCCTGTGAGCACACTGGTAGCTCCTGCTACCTTTAGTAATTCCCTGCTCTCCAGCAATATAACCTTTTCTCCCTCTTGATTTTCTTATCTTTCTGTTACTTATCTTTCTCTATTCCTCCTTCTCGTGTTTTCTTCCATCCCAGCATAGGACTGGACTCCTACCAAACCAAGGTTTGATGAGAATTTGTTGCATTCAGGGCAGGAAGACTGCAAAATACAGGAACTTAAGAAATGCAGTTTCACCTGAGAACTACAACTTCCTCATGCTGTTCTAAATCAAAGAAAATGAGGAAATTACAGTTCATAGTGTCCAGTGAACTTCTAAAGCTTGGTCCTTGCTGGACAGCAAATTAAAAAACGATGTCATCCAATAAGACTTCGAATTCATTTCATAAAATCGTATGGAGCATATGTATTATGGAACTTAAAGGATGGCAGTCGTGGTTCCAGCCCCAGGGGCAGATGGTGGTTGCCTGGGAGACATGACAAACACCAGCAAAATAATATAATGTCGTGTATTAGTGGAACCAGACTCTTTAGCATAAGGTCCTTTCCTCGTTCTCTGATAAGCACTCATATTTTTAAAGTTTTTCTTATCTACCAAACTATATGTATTAAATAGAAATGAGTATTTCCATGCGATCACCAGTGTTGCTAAATTAAATTGGCCTAATTCTAACCAAAAGAAAATACATTTGGTGTTTAGGATATCCTATGTAGCCTCATTTAAGGGTCTTCAAACATGCTAAAAAGAGGTTTCTGATGCCCGTTACTACCCATCAAGCTCCCTGTCCGGGAACTAGGCTTAAAGTAGTTGGGAACTAAACAGGGGCCGTGTGCAAAGGGGAAAGGAAATTACTCTGATCTTCCTACACGGGGTGAGCAACCATCCTGTTTTGCCCAGGATCGAAGGATTTCCCAGAAAGTGTGAATTTCAGTTTTAAAACTAAGAAAGTCCTGGGCACATCAAAGTCAGTTGGCCCACTCTGTGGACTGGAAATCAGAAAGTCTGAGAAAGGGCACTGGAGGCCAGCAAGGGAGACAGCAGGAATGTGCGTGTTTGGTAGACAATGTGTGATCATGTCGGGGAGTAATTGAAGAAGATTACAAGCCCAACCAGAGACACCTATAATGAATGGGCAAGAGGATTAACATTCTCTGATTCAGACACTTTGGGAGGGATTCTCCTCTCCTTAGGAGACACTGTTCTGGAATCGAGGGTGAGGCACGTCTGCATCTACCAACCTGACCACCAACACCCTGTGATTTAGTTTTGGATAACTTATTCCTCTTTGGTTCAGTTTCCGTGAACTGGATGTTCTCTTTATTTTCACTTTGCTCGCAGAGTCTAGCAGAGCTGTGCATTTATTAATATTTAATACAGACTAATTTGATTTGGTTAAAAGATCTTCTGACATAAAGTAGGGGGAAGGATATGATTGAATCACAAGGTATTTTCTATCCTGTGGTCTACGATGTGTCCACAAGTTCCTGTCACAGTACTCCAGATGACCCAATGTGGCCCAGTAATGACAAAGGCCAAATCTGGGTGTTATGGAGGAGGCAACATCTTTTGAAGTAGGAGCTAGGAACCAATTCCTTGACCAGGCCATTGGGCTTCACAAACATCCCTAATTCCAGTGACTTAGATATGCAGCTCTCAGCAAGAAATGTGGAGACCAGGCCTTCCATCTGCTCTGTGTGGTGACTTGGTATGCGTCTGCGGTTTCTCAGTCTTATTGCCAATTAAAAAATCAGTCCTAAAAATAAAAATCAGTCCTGAGTGAAGGCTGGGGAGATTAGAAGGACAACTTCAAGAACAGAAAGCCCAAATCATCATCGTGCTTTCTTGAAACATATGCATAATGACTCATCTCTGCTTGTCACGGGCAGGTTGTCTGATGGCTGGGGAATCAAACACAATTTGCTAACTGGAGCATTCTTGATATTCTCTCCCCAGTGTTTGCTTTTTCTGCCACTTATACCCTGCTGTTTGTGGCCCGAACCCTTCAAGGCATCGGATCTTCATTTTCATCTGTTGCAGGTAATGCTGACATCTTCAGTACACATGTGCGTGTACACACACACACACAGACATCTCCTACCACCTCTTACTCAGACACTATAATATCACTAAAAGATTTATATGAGAAAATTAATTAAGGAAAACCTCACCCTGGTAGGAAGAAATTGTGATTCAGGAACAAGGTAGCTGCAGAGTGGCTGGCAGTGCCATGGATCCCTAAGTCTGGCATAACATCCTGGAATAATATAATAATAATGCTGCTAGCTCAGTTCAGAATAAGCCCAAGTAAAACCATAAAGCAGGCCAGGTTTTTACTTAGTGCCCTTCTTTCCCTTTCTCCCTCTTATTTTATAGGAACTGCCATAAACATAATAATCAATAATAAATAATAATAAACATGTAATAACATCAGAGTTTTCTAAGTATTGTCAAATATTTCATGGCATCCTGTGAGGCTGATATTTTATGCTGTTCTGTGGGTGCTGTGCCCTGCCAGCTCAGGCCGTGCTCCGGGTGCTTGGTGTTTTCCTGCCCCCCCTTGGGCACCATGTTGAGTGGAACAGTCTTTACTCGTAGGTGCTCCTTCCTCTCACCTGCTCCAGAGCCCCCTCATGCAGGGAAATGGGCCAGGACATGATCAAACACTAGGAAATATGGCACAATTAGAGAGTGGTCGTCTGTGTCACCCTTCCCAGAAGCCTTTGCATTTCCATTAATGCCCAGAAGAAATGAGTAGTGTGGACATTTGAGGGACCAGTGGGGGACAGTATTTGCAATCTACTATGGGATAAGTTTTGTAACACCCCTCAACCTGAAACTCTATCTAAGATTATTAGTCACGACATGATAGAGCAGAGACCAAGGACTCTGAGAGAGGCAGACAGCCCTCCCAGGTGCCAACTCCCTCTGTCATTCTCTGTTCAGGTCTTGGGATGCTGGCCAGTGTCTACACTGATGACTATGAGAGAGGGCGAGCCATGGGAATTGCCCTGGGGGGCCTGGCTTTGGGAGTGCTGGGTAAGTGGCACCTTGCTGCAACTCTAGGTTCGGGAGGGTTGGGAGCACTGCAGACAGACCCTTGGAAGATGGCTCCAGGAGGCAGGTGTCCTGGGTTGTGGAAGATGAGCGAGTATTTCCTTTCTCTTCCTGGCTCAATCACAGGTGGACTCCTTCAGAAAAATCACGTAGGGCCGGGCGTGGTGGCACACACCTGCAATCTGAGCAGCTCAGGAGGCTGAGGCAGGAGGATGGAGAGTTCAAAGCCAGCCTCAGCAAAAGCAAGGCACTAAGAAACTCAGTGAGACCCTGTCTCTAAATAAAATACAAAATACAGCTGGAAATGTGGCTCAGTGGTCAAGTGCCTCTAAGTTCAATCCCCGGTACCACCCTCCAAAAACCAATATCACCAAGGGAAGATTTCATTTCTTTATCTTTAATAAGCTGTGCAGTTCATAAGGACCTCAGAGAGATCCAGAAAGCTAGCCTGTCCAAGGGAACGGACCTCCCCGTGTTAGTGACTTCCTCTGCCTGCCGTATCTCTACTTCTCCATGTCAGAATCTCCATGCTTTCAACATGAGAGTGTGCTCTCCCCACCCAGATTCTCTGCTGAATTCATCACAGATATAATTTCCTTTATTCCTCACTGCCACCCGAAGGACGAATAATGGTCCCCAGGTTAGAGTTGAGGATAAGAAAGATTAAGTAGCCATCCAAGGTCATAGAGTCAGGCAACAACAGAGCCAGGATAGAACTTCAGATCTTCGGCACTTCAAATCCCAAGCTCTCGGCCATAAGGTTGTGCGTTCCTCGAGGCTCATCCTTCACGTGTTTTAATCTGCTAGTCCAAAAGCCACTTACTTTTGCTGAGTGCATACTACATGCCAAGCACAATGCTAACAATGGGCAATAGGTAAGAACCCCAGACATAGTCCTGCCCTCCAGGAGGCTACAAGCCCACTGAGGAGAAGATGCCCAAAGTCTCCTTCCCAGCTGTCCCCACCCTGTACAACCACAGAGGGAACAAAGCCCTGCTCTTTGTTAGCATTCATCTTCCCAAAACTCAGCCTTAAACTTGGTGCACTCTGGTCCTTCCTCACAGTCACTCCCAAATGAACAGGCTCGTTTCACCCTCTGCAGCCACTTCAAGGGCTGCTCCTCACCCTTTCTGGGTCGGAACATGGCACCAGCCTCCTGCCTGATCTCTTTCACGTTTCCTCCTTCCTGAGCCCAGAGCCGGTGGTGTGTTTCTCTCCCATTGAAAGGAACTGAGCTTAGCCCCAGATCAAAAAGCTCAGTAGACACCTCATCTGACCACCTGGGGCCCTTGACTAAGTGACCTCAACCTTCTCCACCTCTGCTCCCCACCCCACCCCCGTCCCCAAACATTCATACACCAACAACAACTCTCTCCCCTCTCTTCTGTAGCAACACGCTCTTTTCTGACGCCTCTTTGGTCTTCTTGCAATACTTTTTCTTTTTTCCCACGAGGCACTCTGTACTTGGCAAAGGCCTTGTGGCCACCAGGACTTTCTGACCCACCTCACTGTGTTTGCACAGCACTTTGTGCATCCGATTTTACTGTCAATCTTGACAGTGACAATTTCTTGAACCTGCCCTTCATATTTTCTTCACTCTAAAGTGAGCTCCTTGGGGGACAGGGACAGGGTCTTCCCCATGTCTGAATCTCCAGAAGCCCAGGTGATGTTTGGCCCCTGGTGGGTAACGCGGATAAGCCTCTGAGGCTGGGGTTGCTCACTCCCGGGGTCTGTGCTGCTTTGCCTTCCCAGTGGGCGCTCCCTTTGGAAGTGTGATGTACGAGTTTGTTGGGAAGTCTGCTCCCTTCCTCATCTTGGCCTTCCTGGCGCTGTTGGATGGAGGTAAGTCAGCACTAGGACCCTGGTCAGTGGTAGCCCAGGTCAGGACAGGAGTGCTTTAGGCTGTGGGGTCAGTGTGCACGTGTTTACATGGATCAAGGACACCCCCATCCTAGAAAAGAGGGAAGAAACTCAGGGAGTTAGAGGGTGGCAGCAATGTGGCTCTTACTTGAGCCCCAGCTAATGAGTGAACAAAGGGAATTTACTGTCTCTCTTCCTCTTCTTTCTTAGCGCTTCAACTTTGCATCCTGAAGCCTTCCAAAGTCTCTCCTGAAGTAAGTAGACACAGACTTCTGTTGCATAGAGGTAGACAGAAGGGCCAGGGGAAGGAACCCAGACAAGCTGTCAAACCACTGGAAGATGAAGAGGAACAGAGTCAGGAAAAATGAGATCTGTACTTGGGCTCCCAGGCTGGGTTACATTTGGGGGATGTATGGGCAATGGCAAAAGAGTCCGGCTAAAATTGGACAAGGATGGAGAAAAGACCCATAAAAGACCAAAGAAAGATTATGCCTATAATCTCAGCAGCTCAGGAGGCTGAGACAGGAGGATCACAAGTTCAAAGCTAGCCTCAGCAATTTAGCGAGACTCTAAGCAACTCAGTGAGACCCTGTCTCTAAATAAAAATATAAAAAGAGCTGGCGATGTGGCTCAGTGGTTAAACATCACTGGGTTCAATCCCTGGTGCCAAAAAAAAAAAAAAAAAAAGTCAAAGAAATCTTTTTTTAGAGATAGGGAAGACGAGGCCTTCAGATAACCTTTCCCCAATAAAAGACATCCTCTAAGAGCATCCCTAACAAACTCTCATTCTGTCACGGTTAGTAAATATCAGGGTTGATATTTGTCTGATTTCAAACCAAAGATGGTCTGGGAAATCAATATCAAATCATATTGTGATGAATTACTCAACATGCAGGAGGAAAAATGACAAAGTGTGGAAGTGTATGAGAAAGTCTGACCTAAAGACTGATCTTGCAAACTATGGTCCATCAAGCTATTCTGGAAGTAATTATAATTATACATAAAAGTTCTTGATGATCTTTGTGTCCCAGGATCTCTGTCTATGCTTTATCTTATAAAGTCCATGAATAATGGACTGTTTTTAGCCTCATTCTATAGATAGAGACAGTGAAGGTAATCAGAGAAGCATCTGGAACTGTGGTATAATTGGCACCTTGAGAGTTCCCCACCGTGACCTGGAGATTTGGCGTCACCCTTTGGGAACGGGCTGTAGGAGTAGAATGTCTGGGTACTGGGGAGGGAAACTCTTCAGAACAAGGAACACAGAATACCTTCTGCCGGGACTCCCAGGCCTGGAATGTGCTTGGTCCTAATGCAGCTCTAGCCCTGCCTGGGACCAGGGACATGCGTCCAGATGGTTCTGCCACTGCCACGAGGACCTGGGGCCGGGACTGATGATGAATCCTGAAACAAGTAACAAGTAAACCAGGCATGGGATACCAGGGAAGAAGGGCATTAGGACATTTTTAGGAAGAACTTGATGGGGGGCAAAAAAATTACCAGAGTTTCATTAGACTTTCAAAAACTTTTCATTTTGAAATGAATTTAAATTTACAGAATAGTTGTGAGCATAATACAGAGAACTCCCATATCCCCAGGTTCTTCACATTTTACCATTGTTATTAATCATCCCTATCTTATTATTATTTCTGATCTTTTCCTGAGTGATTTGAGAGTACATTGCTTATATGATTCCTTACCCCTTAATATTTCAGAGTTTTCTCTGAGAACAAGGATATTTCCTATGCAGTGACAGTAGAGTTCTGGATCCCATTGATTTTATGTGGCTACAGCACTTTAATCTACAGTCCATCTTTGATTTGTCATTATTCTTACCATGTTTTTTCCCCTCCAGTTAGGACTCAGAATTACTCCTGTGTCATAATCCAGAAAAGTTTTTCAGTCTCAGTCTTTCAAGACACTGACATTTTTTTTCTTATTTGCAATATTTTGACTTTATTTATACTTTTTAAAAATTATTTTTAATTCTAATTTCTTATATGTGACAGGAGGATGCATTACAATTCATATCACACATATAGAGCACAATTTTTCATATCTCTGGTTGTACACAGAGTCACATCATTTGTGTCTTCATACATGTACTTAGGGTAATGATGTCCATCTCATTCCACCGCCTTTCCTACCCCCAAGCCTCCTCCCTTTCTCTCCCTCCCCTCTGCCCTATCTAGAGTTCATCTAATCCTCCTATGCCCCCCCCAACCCCACTATGAATCAGCATTCATATCATCTATATCAGAGAAAACATTCAGCATTTGGTGTTTGGGGATTGGCTTATTTCACTTAGCATTATATTCTCCATTTTATTCTCTTTGATGCTGAGTAATATACCCTGGTGTATATATACCACAGTTTCTTTATCCATTCATCCACTGAAGGGCATCTAGGTTGGTTCCACAGTTTAGCTATTGTGAATTGTGCTGCTATAAACAATGATGGGCCTGTGTCCCTGTAGTATGCTGTTTTTAAGTCCTTTGGGTATAGACTGAGGAAGGACACTGACATTTCTGAAGAACACCAACCGTTACTTTCTAGAATCTTTCTAAATTTGGTTTGCCTTTTGTGTCCTCATGATCCACTGTGGGCTCTGCAGCCTCTGTTGTCACATCACCTGAGTGATCCCGTCTCCTCTAGAGTGTCATATGGCACCTATTCATCTCTCATCCTGGTCTCTCATCCCTGGGTCAGGGAGCTGACTGGTCTCTTCCATGTGTAGCTATTTTCTTTCACGTTGTACTGACAATCTGTGAGAAACACTGTAAGAACATATAAAACTCTCATCTCCCTTAAAAAATCACCTCCCCCTAGATTTATTATCCATCAATGATCCTTGCCTGAACCAATGTTTACTATGATATTTGCAAAATGTAGCAATTTCTATTTTACTGGTTCCCCCATATCAACAGTTGGCATTATTTTTCTGTAAGAAATAGCCATTTTTTCTCTTCCTCTCTTTATACACAACTACGTATTTATACACATTATATGTCAATATATATACAATTCATTTATTTGCTTATTTGCAGTTTGAACTCATGGATTTTTATTTTATTCAGTGGCTTGTAGTTTATAACCATCTCTGTTTATTTTGATGCTCAAATTGTTGTAGATTTAGCAAGTGTAGACACTTTCAAACTGGCTTCAAAGTCATTTTAACATGCCCACAGACTTTTTTTGAGTAATTTTTTTGCTTTGTGATACAAATATATGTCACATGCTCATCTTGTTCCTATCCCGGCCCCTAGCCCTGGGATCAACTATTTATCCAGGAATCTCAGGTTCCTTTTAATGGGGGATGGTGTTTAGAAACCAAATCATGGGCACTTGGTGTCCCACTGCTATGGGGGTGTCCTTGTTTTTATGCCATCTCAGTGACAGAGCCGGTATATCCACAGGAGTTCATACTGAGACCTCTGCCTCCAGTCCAACTCTACTTTTTATTGCTTTCCTCAATCTTCTCCATAGAGAGAATCCTGGTGCCCCCCCCCCCCAAGTCCAGGCATTTACCTTTTTATGCAGTCCTACAATGCTTGTAGTTTGTACACCCATACACCCAAAAGCAAGCTTGCTAGAAAGCATTCAAGATAGCATTCAGTTCTTTTTCCTTGAATGTGGGGAATATGACCAAAGTACTGCAATTAGAAATTTTTATGTTAGTTTTTTTCACCCTCAGTGTGATTATATGATGCATGGTGCACTTCAAATTCAGTTGTGTCCACTTGTTTTTCTTTGCATTTGATTTTAGTTTTTTTTTTTTTTCCATTCTTGTTAATTTGTTAGTTTACTTGAGTTGCCCATAACAAATGCTATGGGCTCAGTGACTTAAACAACAGACATTTAGTTTCTCAGAGCTCTGGAGGCTAAAGTCCAAGATCAACGTGTGGATCAATGTGTTGGTTTCTGGTGAGGGCTCTCTTCCTGGCTTGCAGGTGGCTACCTTCTCTCACTGTGACCCCACATGGTCTTTCTTTGATGTCTGTGCACAGAGACAGAGATCACTGGTGTCCCTTCCTCTTCTTACACAGATACTGCTCCTATCAGATCAGCATTCCACTCATGTAAACCTCATTTAGTTTTAATTATTTCCCCCAAGTCCTCATGTTAGAATAGGACATTAAGGAATTGTGCTCAACCTGTGAGTTGGTGGAGGGTACAATTCCATCCATAACATGAACACAATTTCATATTTTGAATATAAAGTACACTATCATCTAAAAGTCAAAATGATTCAAAAAGGTATTCTAATGTCAATCTCTCCATGAGCTTTCTACCCTTCCCCTTCTTTAACCCTGTTGCTCATGAGCAATCACTTGGTTTTTCAGTTTATCTTTCCTATGCATTTTGCATTTTTCCCCAAAATAAATAGTTCACATGTGTTCTCTTATTTCTCCAATTTTTCTTACACAAAAGTTATCATACTCTATAGTCTTTGCATTCTCCTTTCTCTTTCACACTTAACAATGTATTCTGAAAACCACTCCTCATCTGTACATAGAGTTCTGCATTGCTTCTGAAGCTGTATGGTCCACCACTCTGTGTATTCTGTTTCTTTTTGGAACATTTAGGTAGGTTTCAGTAGTTTGCAGTTACAGATGATGCTACAATGAATAACTTTATATGCATTCATTTTAGAAAGTTGGCAGTGATCTTTAAATTCCTAGAAATGGAGTGTTTGCAAAAAAAAAAAAGAGTTTATTGGACTTTTTATGTGTATTTTTATGATTTACATCAGTTTCTTTGAACTATGTTTGGGATGAGGACATGCTCTTTTTACTTTAGGGTCTCTATATTTAATTTACCTGGTGTGTATCATATCAAAACTCTCAGATCTCTTACAAGATTGACTACAGTATGCACCATAGGAGATTAGGACAGAATGCTCCAGAAGCTTGAAAAAGGGAGAAGTTTCAGCTACTGAGTCAGAGGACATTGTGGAAAAGGAGGAGCCAGTTGAGCTTGACTTTGAAGAGTGGGCAGGACGAGGAACCCTGGAACTGAGAAACCAGGTAGTTGAAGCAAAGACAGCAGTGATGGTGGCAGGCAGCTGGGATGCAGGAAGGAGAGTGGGGTGGCCAAGTGTGGCCGGGACAAGGTACATCTTGAGGGAAAGGGAAGTTAGAACTGGTCATTTGGGCTGGTGTTTTAACCCCAGTGTTTAGGCTCCTAGTCCACTGTGGCTCAAAATGGTGGAAAGGAATAATTCAGACAGCTGGAGGAGTCAAGGTAATGTTTTTGTTTTGTTTTGTTTTTGGTGGTGCTGGGGATCGAACCCAGGGCCTTGTGCATGTTAGGCCAGCACTCAACCAACTGAGCTATATCTCCAGTCCCCCGAGGTAGTGTTTTTATGCAGAGTGGGATGGAGCACTCTGCCTGTGGTTCTGGGCAAATACTGGTGCCAGGGGGATCTATTGGAAAATCCCTGGAACCCCTGTTAGATGTCTAACCCCGCCCCTGCCACCACTTACCCTGACCTGCCTGACAGTCATCTGGAGGCAGGGATCACATCTAGATGTGTTGTCCCACTCTCTGTGACTCCCATCAAGCCCCGCCCTGCTCACGGGACAGTACAGGCTCTGCCTCCAGCTCACGTTGTGACATTGGGCAGGTCACTTTCTCTCCCTGGACTTGGGTCTCCAGATCTCTACAGTGAAGGAGTCGCGATAGATGGTCTCTAAGGTCCTGTGTGCACATTCTCAGCTTCTGTGAAAATAAGAGGGATGTAAACACTGTACAAATGGAAGTTCTTGTTGTCCTTGTCCTCAGAGTGCCAAAGGGACCCCACTGCTTATGCTTCTCAAGGACCCTTATATCCTGGTGGCTGCAGGTAAGGCGGCAATGGCTTCCCTCGGAGCCGGGAGGGTTTGGGCTTCAGGCACAGTGGCCCACAGAACCGCCTTGCCAGGTTCCATCTGCTTTGCCAACATGGGAGTGGCCATGCTGGAGCCCACCCTGCCCATCTGGATGATGCAGACCATGTGCTCCCCTGAGTGGCAGTTAGGTAAGTGACCTGGTCCCCGCCTTGGGCTTGGGCAGAAGGTGAGTGCTGTGGGCCCTTCCACAGGTAATCAAAAGGCATCATCAAGTCCAGGTCATTAACATCTCAGGGGGACAATGAGCTTCCATCACAGAATTACCTTCCATGTCCACATCCATGAATTGGCCCCAGTGGATGGGAAATTCTTCAGAAAAGTAGTCTAAGAAAGGACATGGGGGGAGGGATCAAGGAGACTCTTGAGAGCCCACATACCTAGCTCTGTGCTGGAATGAATAAATATTAATGAAGTCAGAAGACTTAGGTTTTTGTTTCAGCTCCATTGATTAGCTGTATAAACTGTGCAAACCACCTTTTTCACCTCTGAAGTGTCAAATAACTTTCTAGTTGAAAGGGAAAGTAACTATCTAGTTTAGAGGGAATTGGAGGAATAAGTGATTCAGGTGTAGAAATGCTTTGGCCCATGTGCAATTTTAATACGCACCACCACTGCCATCCATACCGACTGTAAGAATAAATGACAGGGGCTGGGGATGTGGCTCAAGCAGTAGCGCACTCGCCTGGCATGCTTGCGGCCCGGGTTCGATCCTCAGCACCACATACAAACAAAGATGTTGTGTCTGTGGAAAACTAAAAAATAAATATTAAAAAAAAAAGAATAAATGACAGGTGTGGGACTGTCTTATCCTGTACATAATACATGATACCACGTCCACCCACACTTCCTCTCTTCCACTCCCCATCCCTCTTTGCTGTTTTGTTATTGTTGTTGTTGTTTATCTCTAAAATGATGCTCAAGAAGGATGCCCTATAGCTGTCCCCTGGGGAAGGTACTCAGCTCTGGATCCCCGTGGAAAGCTCTGGGGCCAGACTCTGTGACTCCTCTAAGGCTCCAGCCCTTTCTGGAAAGCCTGAGGAAAGGGGACAGAGACTGCTACGTGCAGATGACTCAGTCACTGCAGGGAAGAGAGGCTTATGGGGCCCGAGGGGAAGCTGATAAGAGCCTGATACAGCTCAACATGCAACAGAAAGCACTAAATCTAATTTTTAAGGGGACAGTTCTAAGCAGGGTTCCCAGCTGCACTCCTAGGTCCAAATTGAATTTTTCTGGGCTGAAACTGCTTCTCCCCATGAGAGTTAATTGAGTTAGTCAGTGTTCAGTGCAGATAATACCCCTCTAGCCTGAGGGTCTGGCCACTTAGGCTACTGGTACCCGCAAGCAACTACACCATGAGGAAGTCCTTCCTCAGCAACCCAGTTACCAGTCTCAGTTACCAGTGACTCAGTTACCATTTACCAGCATCTCCCACAGCTTTTCCTAGTGCTCTCTGCATCTGTAAAGTCTCACATCAAAGTTCTCCAATGATGACATTGGAGGTACCTGGAGTGCTTGCTGGGTGCTGGCCAGCAGGTCAGGAAAAACAAGTCTGTGCTCCTAGTGAACTGCTCAGTGACCACACTTTAAAAACCTCTGTTCTACATGAAGAACAGCTCTCCAGGTTTCTGGGAGGAGCAAAGGGGACAACTTTGTTGATCATGATGCGACACAGTCTTTGCCATGGGATCCATTGGGTGCTAGCAACTGTCCTCAAGTGCAGGAAATAACCCAGGCTTTAGAAACATGTCCATTTGGGTTTGAATTCTGATCTGTCCACTTATTAATTGTCATGTTGGACAAGTTATTTCAACACTTTTTTTTTTTTTTTTTTGGTGGTGCTGGGGATTGAACCCAGGGCCTTGTGCATGCAAGGCAAGCACTCTACCAACTGAGCTATATCCCCAGCCCCCTATTTCAACACTTTGATCTCCGCTTTTCTCATTTGCAAAGGTGGAAATAATTTTTAGAGTTGTTTTGAGGTGTGTAATCATTTTAAGGATAAGTACACTTTATGGAACATGGAATATACTCAGTCAATAATAATTGCTATTATTTTCATCATTGTTTGGTTGAAACCATCTTGATAGTCACAGCTGTGTGTAATCTGCTATCCCTTGAAGGCACGCTGTGAAAAGCTTGTGTTGATAGGCACTTCGTCTGCAACTCAAAGCGAGATATGGCCGGTCCTAATAAGCAAGCCCCATAGATTGGGAAAAATCTCATTTAGCAGATTTCACACCATCTACAATGATGCCAAGTGGTCATTTCTAGGCCAGAGAGCTTCCCAGAAGTGCCTGTTTCAACAATCAGATAAACAGTTGAGTAGTTATAACCTCTAAACTTTTTTAAGGCAATTAAATATAAACACAGAGGCACAGTTTAAAGAGATTGCCACTCTGTGCAGATAGAGTAAGCAAATACACTAAGGTGTGCTTCACTGCTACTCCACAGAAGAGAATATTAAAAGCAAATAAGCAGCTGGGTTGGGCTGTAGTTCAGTGGTAGAGTGTGCCTGGGTTCAGTACCTAGTACCACTGGAAAACAAAAAAAAAGCAAACAAGCTGTCGGCTAGGATCTGGTAGATTGTTGACTTTGGGTTTAGCTGTAATGAATGTGTTCTATTGGGCTGTGTGCGTTTCCTCCAGGCCCACGTGCAGAGAGGGCTGGTGGAACTCAAGGAAACTCACATTGCTGATTCTAAGCAGGCCCTTACACCAGAGTCATCCTTGCTGCCACATGGGTAGGGTGGGAGAATGCGAACATCCAGCATTGGAGCGAGAAGCATGGATCAGGTCCTGACCCTGTCACTGACTTTTTGATAATAATTAAGGCTGGTGCTCATAAGGCATTTTGTCCATTCCAGGCACTGTGCAAAGTGCTTAATCTCCCTTAAGCCTCCCTTAAATATCTCCCTTATACTTCAAAACCAGCCCGTCCAGTAAGAATTATTATCTCCTGTATTAGTGATTTTTTTTGTTACTGTGACACACTGCCTGAGGCAGGCTGACTTTATAGACTAGAGACTCATTTAGCTCACATTTTTGGAAGCTGAGTCTGAACAGCATGGTGCTGGCTCTCCAGGGGTTCCATGGCAGATGGCAGGAGCCCATGCAGGAGCCAAGTATCATATCAAACAGGAAGCCCTGCTCATGAGGAGGGCAGCGATGTGGGTTCTACAACTTCTACTCTGGGTTTGTCTATGGATCTCCAACCATAAAACAAAGTGGTCTGGGAATCCTGGAAGGCACCAGGGGGGACGTCGGTGTCTTGTAGGATAGAAGATGTTTTCGATGAATTGAGCACATTCCAAGGTGAGGCTCTGTGTCCTTCTGCAGGTCTAGCTTTCTTGCCTGCCAGCGTGTCCTACCTCATCGGCACCAACCTCTTTGGTGTGTTGGCCAACAAGATGGGTCGGTATGTAGCCCGGGGATCTGGGAAGAGTGATAGGAATGTGAGATGGGAGAGCCTGTCCCTGTGCTTGGGAGGAGGAATTGCTTCTCTGAGATTGAAAATTAGGATAAGGACAGAGCAATAAAAACTACCCAGGGGAGGTGGGGGATGGGTGGCAGTGGGGACGATCCTGAGCTCTTACTAGAAGAGACAGCCGGCACACAGGGACAGCCCTTACTCTCCACTGGGCAGCTGGGGCATTGCATTGGTTGTCAAAAGGTGCTCCAGGGAACCCCAGGGAATTCTTCAGCAAAGCCTCAGAAGCCACCAAGGGAATGGGATTGGGAGTGGAGAAGTCGAACCCCAATTCTGTTTCTCTACTACGAGGAAAAACAGTTACAGCTTTAAGTTATCTTTGCAGTTCAGGCTTTTGAAATAAATTCAAAAGCACTGACTTAGGAAATTAGAGATGAAAAGAAATTGATATTTTCGTGTTTTATTTATTTATTGAGATGGATGTTTGAGACCAAATAAAATGGGATAGGAGGAGATTTGTGATTTTTGAGATGGATCTGTAAAGCCAAATGAAACAGAAGAGCAGGAGGCATTGTGAACTGGTACACAGCATGAGACCAGGGCTGCCTGCTGAGGCCTCCTGAGTCAGCAGGTCCCCGCCACCTGCCCCGGCTTTGAGCCAGGGAGGAGACACAGCAAGGAAAGGACAGGGAGAGACCTGGGTCATATAAAGACGCACCTGCCTTCTCATGTCCCAAGGGACTGCTGGGTTTAGGGAGGGTAGGGGTGGCCGGTATGCAGGGCTGGGGTGGCAGGTGGAAGGGACCCCTCCCCTGAGCACCGTTTGATGACGGCTCTTTCCTCCCAGGTGGCTGTGCTCCCTGGTGGGAATGGTGGTCGTCGGTGCCAGCTTGCTGTGTGTAAGTATAACGAGGCCCTGTTGAGGGCGGGAGAGCCAGCCATTTCAAGACCATTTCCTTCAAAATGATTGGCAAAGGCTGTCAAAAAAAGCTGTTTCTGAGTAGGCAGGAGTTAGCCCTGAGAGCGATGCCACCATCTGAAGTGGCATGCCATTGAGGGGAGGCGGGAAGGAGGCCAGGGCAGTGGGCAGCAGGAGGCCACGGCTCTGGGAGAGAGCAAGCGAAGTGAGGCATGCCGGTATCTACATCTGGAGCCAGCCAAAGGGTGCATTTCATGACTTCCTGCACTCAGTCCACCCTGACGGGTCCCCCGAAGTCACAGAGAACCCTTGCCTGTGCCTCAGACTCTGCACCAGAATATCATCTGATGGAAGAAGGAAGAAGGGCTTTTTCAGATTCAGTAGCTCCTGTCAGGCGCTCTCAGTCCACATTTTCTCCGGTCCCCAATGGAGATCATAAGTACACTGGCCTCTGGGCTCCAGGGAGATGAGAACAGAACTGCACTCAGGACAGGCTGGTGGTCCTGATGGTGAGCAGGGGCTCAGGCTCCATCTCCACCTCGCCGCCCAACTGGCTTTGAGCTACTTGCATCACCTCTGTCAGCTCCGTATTCCCCAGAGGATTCTGGTAGCATCTCACGGGTGGTGGAGGTGATCCTTGTAAAGTGCGGAGCCCCCAGTGAATCTTAACCAATACTCTTGGTAAATACAACACCTCTTGAGGTGTCACCCCTACGGATGTTACCAGCTGCGAACGTCTAAATGGTACGCTAAACCTTTGGGGGAGGTGAGTGTGCTGGGATGGTGGGTTTGGGTGACAGTTGCCCAGGGAAGGTGTCAGGAACCTTCAAAAGAGGTAAAGAAGGGAGTTCAGGGGTGCTGAGCGGGCGGTGAGGGTGAGTTTCCCAGCTTGCCGATGTGGTACCCAAGCCATGCCACCTGTCCCTTCCACTAATGGGCTGTTGGATTCTTCTTGCTCCAGGGGCCACCTAGTTACATACTTAAACAGCACCTGTGGATGGGTCTGTCATGGAAAAGAGAGGCAACTCCGTTCAGTGGAGAATGGGGACAGGAGTGTGTGTTTGGGTAGAGAAGGCCAAAGGGTGAGGAGGGACAGTCCCTCAACAGAAAAGGACCACTGTGATGGTCTAAAGAGCCGAGTCGGAGGTCCCCCACTGCACCCACTGTAACTTTGGGAAGGGTGTTTGACCCAAATGGTACCAGGCCCGTTTTTGTGTCTTTAAAATGGAGGTGAAAATTCTCCTTCACGAGGCGCTAACCCACGTGGCACAAGCACACGCTTGATAAGTGCATTTCAGGTGAAGACCCTTTGCACCCTCCCCACAACCGGCTGGGGTGCTGATGACGTCCCCCTCCTTCCTCTTGCAGGTTCCTCTGGCCCACAGTATTTTTGGTCTCATTGGCCCAAACGCAGGCCTTGGCTTTGCCATAGGTAAGTGCCCTCAAAGGCAAGACGCCCCTGATGTTGGCTTTGGTGGCTGCTCCTCCCCTCCTTGTCTCACCAGAGGAGGTAGGTGGAAAGGCAGAAGGAGCAGGAGAAGAGCTGCCGGGACCCAGAGATGGGTTCATAATTCCCACCATGGCCTCCTCAACAGGCCCAGGGCTTAGGGCAGGAGGAGAGAAGGAGATGTAAAAACTGGGGGTGTTGCTGACCCACAGTGTCCTGTTTGCCCTGGCCACAGGCATGGTGGATTCCTCTCTGATGCCCATCATGGGGCACTTGGTGGACCTGCGCCACACCTCAGTGTACGGGAGTGTCTACGCCATTGCCGACGTGGCCTTTTGTGTGGGCTTTGCCATAGGTGCGTAGCATGGGGGAGAGGGCAGCGCCCAGATGTGGGTGTCCCCCTCTCCTTTTTCTCCCACACATGCACTAGAGGTGGACAGCTGGCTGATGTCCAGCTGGTGTGAGGCTATTTGATACCGTGATGTCCTTGGGTCCCCCACTGCACCCAGCACATGTCCCACGGGCGAGAAAGGCTCCGTGAACCTTTGTGAATTTGAGTTCTTCTTTGCAGGCCCGTCCACCGGGGGTGCCATCGTGAGGGCCATCGGTTTCCCCTGGCTCATGGTCATCATTGGGGTCATCAACATCAGCTATGCTCCGCTCTGCTACTTCCTGCGGAGCCCCCCAGCCAAGGAGGAGAAGCTCGTAAGGCTTTGTGAACAAAACAAAACAAAAAAGCGCACGTTTCTCCCTAAAGTCTCTCCTATCCTTTTCCACCTCGGGCCCCTTCCTCCCTCTGTCTGTCATCTCTCCCCTTTGCCACATTTTCTTGTTCCTCCTTTATGTCCATCTTTCCTTTGTGTCCTTCCTTTGTCCCTTCTCTTACGCCTCCTTTCTGGCTGTCAAGAAAGATCTTAAGTAAGAAACGGAAAATGGCAAACTCACAAAGAGTCTCATGAAGAACTGGGAGCAGGGGACCTTCGGTGGCATCCTGTAGTTAGGGTAGTTACTAGCAAGATGTCCATGTCTGTTTCAGTCAGGTTTTTTGCTGCTGTGACTGAAACACCTGACAAGAAAAACTTGGAAATGGTTCATCTGGGGGTTCACAGTTTCAGAGGTCTCCATCCATAGACAGCTGGCTCCATTCCTTGGGGCTCAAGGTGAGACAGGACATTGGAAGAGTATGGCAGCAGGAAGTGGCTTAGGTGGTCATCAGGAAGCAGAGAGAGACTCCACTCACCAGAAACAAAATATATACCCCAAAGGCATGCTCCCAGGGATCCAACTCCTCCAGCCACGCCCTATCCACCTTCAGTTACCACCCAGTTAGCCCAACAGGAGATTAATTCACTGATTGAATTAAGACTCTTGCAACCCAATCATTTCTCCTCTGAACCTTCTTGCATTGACTCACACATGAGCTTTGCGGGGGGGACACCTCACATCCAGACCATAACAATTACCAAGTTATCTCTGCCCTCAATGGGCAGAATTCTACCCAGCACATGCATTCATTTTACTCTGCTATTATCATTATCAAGTCATCGCTTTTAAAGTACAGAAAGATCCATAAGATTTTAGTCAATAAGGTCCTTTCCTCTTATGGCAGCATGAGCACCCTGAGGGTCTGTGTGGGAGGGGATACATTTGGAGGCTAACAAAAGTCAACAGGAAGGTTTGCTGAAGGGTGCTGCCAACTTCAGCCAATTTCCTGCTATATCTTGCATTAATGATGTTAGGATTCAGTTAAAAGACTCTCAGATGTATTTCCTGACTGCGGTTGATGTGCCTAGCTACCCTGTGAGGCCTCTGCACGTTGGTGAAGCAGACCGAGGGTGTTGTGGCTTTCCTAAGCAGCATTAGACTTGGATGATCTAGTGGGGGAACTGGAAAGGGGAGATCTTCAAAGATATGCAGACATTTCTCTTGTCACTTGCTACAGGCTATTCTGAGCCAGGACTGTCCCATGGAGACCCGGACCTATGCAACCCAGAAGCCCACCAAGGAATTTCCCCTGGGGGAGAACAGCGATGAGGAGCCTGACAGTGAGGAGTAGCAGAAGTGTCCCTGGGCCCTGTCACAGGTGAATCCAGGAGGCTTGGGCTTCAGAAACCGCCTTTTCCCCTGGAGCCTGATGGCGATGTGCTGCTCCTTGGGCTTCTCTTTCTCTCCCCTGGGTGTTTCCTTTCGTACCCTCCCCTGGGTGCCATGCATACCTCTCCCTCTGTGCTTCAGTGCCACAGGTGTCCAGCTCTTGGGGGAGGACAGAGCATCCGTGGGATTGACTAAACTTGAGTTGTGAGAAGTTCTGGGAAGGGGTGACTCATTTCCTGGAGGCAGCAGTGAGCAGTGTGCTCCTGAAACCAGAGGGGTGACTGACAAGCCGTGTTGTATCTGTTCTCTGATTTTCTCTGGCATATTCCCAACAAATTTAAAGAGTTTTGGCCTCTGTTCCTGGATACATTCCTCTGAGTTCCCCGTGCTGAGCTGAGACACTATCCTCAATATTGTACTTCTGCTTATTTTTTAATAAATGGAGTGTTTTTTTCTGTAGCTAAACCTATACACTGCTAGAATGACTTTATCCTCAGTGACTAACAAGAGCTCCCTATTTTATTCTTATCTAATGGAGAGAAGAGAGTTTCTCTTGTGCGTCAGTCGCTGACAGTCTCATAATCACCTGTGTGTACTCCTATCTTTCCTCAACCTCTTAGAGTCTTAGAAATAAAAGTAGGTAAAGGATAGATCAGACATTCTACAGGAACCAAGGTCTCATGGGAAGAAGTGAACAGAAATTGCCTTGAAATCTCTCTCAGTGTGGATTTCCTCATACGAGAAGTAGAGTAAGGCCTTGTCCACACCTGTGCATGAATAAGTGATTACCTAATTCAGACACGGCCAACCAGAGGCTGTTTTGTAGCAAGAGAGTGTGTGGGCAAATGCAGTAGGTGCCATAAATATTACAACATTTGGCTATCGTTTTGAAATGGTTATTGGGGGATGAAGTTTCAAAGAGATGGGAGACATGGCATCCATCCTAAGTTGCTTCTCAACTATTTGGACAAACAAGAAATACATGGTCTAAAAACCATAGTGCAAGTTAGTATTCCTAGGTTCAAGTCCAAAGAGGCCCGGATGCTCCAGGTCTGGGTGGGGGATAATGGGAGAGATGGAGCAGAGTTAGGATGGAGAGGTCCACCAGGGGTAGGGAGAGGGGAAGAATGACGTGACACAGGGCATTCAGACTTCACAGGATGATACCTGGCTCCGACTTCTGATTCCCCCGTAGGACTTTGATGGGTTCAGGAGGAACCCTGAATCACCAGAACACATTTGTGCTGAGCTTCTCAATCAACCCTTATCACTGCAACAACAAATGCCTGATTGATGGACATGTTCTAGGGCTTTGGCCTTAATTCGACCCCCTGATTTGCAAAACCAGGTGGACTTTCATCATTTAGTAAGAATGCCATGTCTCAGAGTGTGAAAGAGCCCAAAGGTAAAATTGGAAAACTCTCCAAACATATGAACTGTAGCTACCAAGGCAGGCTGGTGCCGCAGTCTGGCTGGGCACACAATCCGCTGGCAAGGAAATTGTCATACCTACTTGGCTAATGGCTCCCAGCAGGCTGGGTGAGCATCCACGGAGGCTCCTACGCAAAGCTGGAGTGAGGCGGGGGAGGGGCACTGGCTGCGCAGGACTGCTGCCAGCCCACATCTGTGTGGGTGGGATTCGTAATAAATGTTGGACTTGTTACAGAAATTACTAATGCGTTCAAAAAATAAGGAGGATTTTTAAGGGAAATTCACCCTGACTTGCCAGTTAACATTGCTTGAGCAACACTCAAAGATAGGGATAAGGGGAAACCAACAGATGCCATTTCTTAAGTATGTCAAGAGTCTCTTGACAAGAGTCAACCCCAAACACAACAAAATAAGTCAGAGTCCCTTTTAATTGTGGATCAGAAGTAGAATAAGGACCAGAGATTGGGCCTATGTAGGAAAGAGTATAAAAAAGAGAAAATATAAAATTAGTCTTTATGCCAGGGTCAGTGGCATACGCCTATAATACCAGCAGCTCGAGAGGCTGAGGCAGGAGGATTGAGAGTTCAAAGCCAGCCTCAGCAACTTAGCAAGGCCCTAAGCAACTCAGCAAGACCCTGTTTATAAATAAAATATAAAAAGTGGTTGGGATATGGCTCAGTGGTCAAGTGCCCCTGGATTAAATCCCCATCACAAAATAAATAAATAAATAAATAAGCCTTTCTTGATGGTCTTATAAATAATATGAATAAGAGGATGCAAGGGAAACTTCCCACATTGTCAGGGCACACAAAGTTCTTCTAAAATTGAAGATGCCAAGCCTGGTGGGAATCAGCCACAGGAAGTTTTCTATAAAAGTGGAGCAACATAGCAGATGGTCTGCATTGTGGGGCAGGTGGCGAGGTCCCCTCATGACAGGAAGGAGGTGCAGCCACCATAAACCTACCTCTGGGGTGATGGGTTTGAAAGTACCAATCGCAACGGAGTGTGTTATGCTCGAATTCGGGACCCCCAAAAGACCACCAGAGACCAAGATTGATGTAAGCAGCAAAGAGGTGTTTCTTGCCAGCTAGCTCAGTCCTCCGTGCACACAGCAACTGGTGACACTGAGAGGCCCTGAGCCAGGGTTTGCAGCAGTTTTATATACTCTTTGGGGAAGGCGGGGACTTCACATACATCATAGCATCTCTTAGCCAATCATCACACACCGCGGGAAAATCATAAAACAACTCTAAAACATGATTAGCACATTCACTGGCGGGAACAAGTTGAGTAAGGGTGATTGGTCAGTACAAGAGGGGAATTCGTTTGAACTGATTGATTTAAGCCAGAGGGGAGTACGTGCAAAACTTCAAAATGTTTCCCAAAATGTTATCAACCACCATAAACTACTGGGAGTGTCATCTGGCATCCCAGGTATTTCCCTGTCTCATGCTGATTGGTGGTTGCTACGGGGTTGCTATGGGTCCCCACCTAGCCTGACTGAGTCAGGGACACCTGGCTCCACAGTAGATCTCTCAGTTATTTGTAGATAAACAACTCAGCAGGGTGGGTATGGGCCTAGGAGTGCTCTGTGGGTCTTTCCAAGGACAAGGGTCACGCCCCCTTCCTTAGGACAGGCTTTGCTCTGAGGTAGAGGCTGGTATTTCAGTGAAGGTGACAGTGGAACTTCAAGAAGCCAGAAAACATTGGACACAAACCAGAGGACGGAGTCTTTTCAGTGGGGCACCTCTATATCTGCTGTGGAAGCTGCAGCACCTCACACTCGTGTGGCAATTGAATAGCTGGAAAAAACGCAGAGAAGACACGTGGGAGGATGAGTGGGCAGCAGGGAGAGCGATGGGGAGGAGCCAGATTTCCTATGAGGAGGGGCACACAGGGAGATGAGATGGACGTAGCTGACCACTTCCAGAAGGCTCAGTCATGGCGGTCTCAGAATCCCAGAACACTTCTGCAGGTTGGCACTTCCGCACCATAAGTGAGCTGAGAAGAGGGTGAATGTTGGAGGATGTCACCTCCCGCTGTGCTGTCTTGTTTATGGAGCTCATTATTATGGAGTTCATTATTCCAAGATAAACCCCAAGCTGAAAAAAGCAAATGTTCTGAGCAGATCGGGCTGTGTTCCTGGAGGCAGCCCTTTGGGGAGTGTGAGTGGGTTCTCTGAGGTCCACATGAAGAAGGGCAGCCCTCCCACCTAGCATCCCTGGATGTCCTTGCATGAGATGGCCAAGGGTCTCTGGGTCCCCAGCACTTGTTCGTCTTGCTGGTGCAGGCTGAGCTTCGTGGGCATTGCACCAGGGCCTGTGCCATGACAACTCGGTCCTGCTGAGCTCTCCCCCAGCTCGGGCACAGGAGAAAGGCTTTCTTGGGATCAAGTAGAAGGGAGCAGGCTGGTTGTGGTTCCCATGGGTGGGGCTTCAGAAAGGAATGGTGGGAGGCCATAGGGTGGGAGCTGGAGGGCTGAGTCAGGAGCAAACAGACCCAGTCCTCATGTCCGGGTCTAGCTTTGACACCAACTGGCTGAGTGACACAGGACAGGCCCTCTCATCTCTGGGCTATGGCATCACCTTCTGTAGATCTGGCCTTCTCTGCATCCACATGGCTCATTTTGGGGTGGTCTTCACTGAGTTCCAGGGGCAAGGCCTGTGTGAGGAGCCCAGAACAAGCCTAGGAAGTCAGCACCCCACGTTACCGCAGACACACACCTGGGAAGCAGGGTCTGAGTTCCTGTCTCAGGAAACCAAGAGAAATGAAGCCTGTTTCTTCCCCTCCCTCCTCCTCCCCCTCCTCCTCTCCCTCCTCCCCTTCCTCCTCCCCCTCCTCCCCTCCTCCCCTTCCTCCTTTCCCTCCTCCCCCTCCTCCTCCTCCCCTTCCTCCTCTCCCCTCCTCCCCTTCCTCCTCCCCCTCCTCCTCCCTGTGCTCCTCCCCGTGCTCCTCCCACATCCACTCTCTTCTCCCTCCCTTTTGCTTTTCTGGAGAATGAGGAGGTATGAGAAATGGTCAAGGTGTCTGGATTTGGCCTCCAAACCAAGTCATTGGGTCTTCCCCTGAAGTCAGAGGGTGGGGGGCAGTGCAGGAAGAGGGTTCAATCGGGATGGATTGAACACATGACAGTGGACCTGTGAGATGTTAATGGAGCTGAGAAATTCCTAGTGCCCAGTGACACTGTGGCTGTCCCAAGGTCCTATAGCAGCAATCACCCAAATGTATGTGGCAATGCTGGTGTGGATAACCCTGAGCTGCCTGTCATATAAAAGTAGAGCCGGAGCAATATGTCCAGCACAGGACACCTTTGTGAATAGCTTTTATTGGCTTTTCAATTTACTATACTTTTAAATCATTATTTTAAACTGTACTCATATATTTAAAAAGTTAACTGTAAAACAACCCCAGACGGTTCCTCGGGAGGTAATTCCAGAACAGAGGCCGTGATGTCACAGGAGATGCCACTGCCCCTTGCAAGGGGACCAAAGGCAGCGACAGGAGACAGTGACACTGAGGATCCTCACCTTGAGAGGCCTAGGCTCACGTGTGTGTTTGTGTCTTTATTTTTAATAAAAAGAAAGTCTATAAAGTAAAATAAATAAAATTAAAACCTTGTAAACAGAAAAAGCTTATACAATGAATATTTAAGGACAAAATATTTTTGTAGCACTGTGTACTATGCTTATGTCTTAAGCTGTGTTATTTCCAAAGTCAAAAAGTTTTGAAAAATTAAAAGTTTTATAGTTATTTATTATTAAAGAAAAAAATTTTATAAATGTAGGATGGCCTCCATGTACTGTGTTTATGGGCTACAGGCTGTACCCAAATCCTGGGCCTCCACATTCACTCTGTGCTCACTTGTGGCCTCAC